GACAGCCATTGGAGGAAATCCTACAGTCGGGCATGTGGACTACACCAAATACGTTCAACACCCGTTATTTACACCAGATCCTGGTTTCTTCTTCATCAGGTTTCATCTTCCACCTGTGGCCACTCTTCAGTATATATTCATACTTTTGTATTCCTTTCAGGGGCCCTTACTTCATTTACTCATTATATGGATGTCACTCTGTGGTGAGTGGTGCCTGACCTGGTATTCTTCAACTTGAAATCCACACTGTACAGCCATGTTGACTCGTGCTTCATGTTCCATGGCTTTGCAATGCTCACTGTTGATATGGGGTGTTCCACTAGATCTTGTAAGTGAATAACCTCATGATGTAACTGCTTCATAAACTTGCCCATTCCAGACTGTACCACCCATGGACTGTATGGGTAAAGCAGAAGGGGATAGATTCCCATTCCAGCCATTCCTCATATTGAATAAATTGGTATGGTCTGCTTTTCAAAATAGGGTTTTGTGATTACTTATTGCACTGTCTCAGGTGATGACGTTCCTCCAGACTCTCCACTGTATTCTCACCCCCTTTCGTCTAGTGTAGTATGGAAGTCTTTACCACTTTCCGGTTTCAAGCCACTGGGGGTGGTCGACCATGGAGTCACCCTCCTGAATGGATTCCACACAAAAATGGCTCTAACCATTCAGTGCAGAGTAGGGTGGTGGTGTTCTGCAGGTATAGATGATGTACCATTCTTCAATATGCAATATACACTCACAAAGGAGTGAGACATCAAAGTGCAGTTCACCCCTTCCATTGGGAGCCCTCATCCTAACCCCAAATTTATGTTGGTACCCCATGGCTGGGTTTTCGATTCACAGTAGAACAAATCAACATAAGTCCTCACACATGTTTATAGTTGTCTATATTCCTCCCTCAATCATACTTTTGTGTTGTGGGTCACAGTGGAGGTAAGAGGATTGTTCTGGTTCTGTCCTTTTTGCTATCCCTCATTATATCTTATTCCGAGGATGTTATTGGTTTTCAGATGGTTCCAGTCAGTTTCACTGATTGAGGAGTTGATTGTATTATATAAACATTGTTTTGATACCGGATGTTGGGTCCCCGGATTGATAGATCAAAGCTGAGGAGTGAGAGTGGTTCTAAATTCCCCCCAGTCTCTTGAACTTGAAGTGAAGATGGGAATATGATCCTCATTCTACCCCCACATGGATGTCAGTTCTCAGCATTATGGGTTTTGGATGTAGTTTACTTACCAAGTATGGTCTGTTGTGCCCTAGCCTCTCTACACCTAGAGACTCATTCATTGTTTTACCCACTTTTATACTTTGTGGGACTGAGTTACATATAGAGTTACATGGTTAGGATCCCTATCCTGCCACAGTTCTCTCTCTCTCACTTGGATGTGCTCCTCTTTTTTTCCACCCTTATCTAGTACACATTTTACAGATGGGCAAAGCATCTACTTTGTTCAGAAATGGTGCAGTTTCCCTCATAAGATCTGACTCATTCCCAGGGGTATCCTTCAGATGCTTTTGGGGGTTACTTCTGCCATTCCCTTGCACTGATCCCACTACCTCAATGATTCTAGCTAATCTTGTGAGAGAAGGGAAGTTCTGTATCAAAAGTTATAATTTTCCTATACTAAGAATGTATTTACAATAGGTACTTCTCACCCTCCCTCCCCACTTTCCTCCAGTGCTTACGTCCTCTACCAAACCTCGAAGTGATAGTTCGGTAGAGGCGTATAGAGGGAGTCACATGTGTCACATGAGTTATGTCATGATCCTATTGGTGGTAAAGTGAAGCATGATGATTTGCATGAGAGACATGTTGGAATCGTTCGATTGCAATAGGGGGAAGCAGAAGGCTTGTGCCATGCATATAGAGGGCAACATTGGACGAGAAAGGATAATCTTGTGAGAAGATGGAAGTACCTACATGAAATGCATTATCGGTATAGGAAAATCATAACTTCAACTTGATAAATTCCATCAAACTGGGCCTTGTTAGGACTTTGTTAACTCTTTCAATACAGGGTCAGTCAGTGTGACGACCTCATAACCATTTTGTGTTTATTATAGTTTTCATGCTATAACTTTTAAATTAGTAAGCGAACGTTAACGAAATTTGGCAGATTATCACTAAACATTACAGTGCTTTCACTCACAAAATATCTAATTTTTTGTTCAATCGTAAGGTTTGTATAGCAATGTTTCTCTCATGCCATTTTTTTCTTTTCACATCTTGCTTATCTGTCATGCATGGTAATTTTCATTTTAAGATTAAAAATACTTTTATGCATCAGAAAATTTTGAAATTTT